GTAGCCAGCAACAAAAAAAAAAACCCTGCGATTTGTTGTTGTGCAGCTTTTCCACCTGGCCGGGGCTCACAACATCTGTGTCCAGAACTCCATCGCCCCTCATTCAGTCTTCCACACACTGCTTTGAGTTAAGACTCTGAACTAAACACAGTTTGTCAGCATATTTTAAACATGTGGATGTGAGCAGGCACTTCTGTCTCTCCTGCCTCTCTAATTGATCCCAGAGGTGGATGTGCGAGATGGAGAGGAAGTGGACACATCGCTTGCGCCGGAGCTTGAAGGAAAACACACACAGCCAGGCAGGCAGGGGAAAGAGTAAAGAGGGGAAGGGGGGAGGGGTTTGGACGGGGACCGGACTGGCCTGCTTGCCGATAGATTTGCTTGATTAGCAATACAACCAAGGCCGCCCCTGCTAAAATAAGACTGTGTGAAAGGAGCATTGTGTTACTATTTATAGTTCTTTCGTATTGTCCTTGCACTCCAGTAGGTCTGTCTCTCCATACCTCTTCACTGTGTCTGCATGTCCTGCAGGAGATTTATTCGTTCTTGGCTCAGGAGCTGAAGAATCTGGCCTCTGCACACGGGGAGAGATTGCTTCACACCCCACATAACCCCATTTCACTGGGTGAGCTCCACGCACTGGCTGCAGACTAATTTTGTCCATGTATCTTGGTTTATTTTGTTTAGTGGTGAGCACTACATTTCTTATGTTTATTATTTATTTGATATTATATATAATATAATGTGTTTTGTGTGTGGCACTTTTCTCCTCCAGCCATGTCTCTGGATGGTTTCCAGGCCGAGGGCGACAAGGCTGTGACTCACCTGGGCTCCATGTTGTTCACCCGGCAAGTGTCAGGAGCCAGGTATGAAAACTTTGAAAGGGAGTGGCCACATTCTGGCGGCTTTGGAATTAGAAACATGGGGAGCGAGGGTGTGGAGGTGTGTGTCTGTGTGTTGGGGAGTCACAAAAGTCTAAAATGGGGGGATGAGCTCTGTGTTGCCAAACAAAATGGCCAGTGGAGATCAGCAATCAGCCAGATGGATCTGCTGAATATGGTGGAGCAGAAACTACTTTACATGATTAGACTGACCATCCTGCCGGGGGCCGCCTCCTAATTTAATAGGATGTTTCCATTACGATCCACAGAGCGATGTCTCTACAGCAGGCACTTACTGTGACGCAGCTTTGACAGGCATGTCCTTGCTCCCACTGGCGGCGTTTCTTAGTGGAAGGGAGCAGGATTTGTCAATTCTTCATTGTTGCCTTCTGCCTCAGTCACTCATGGCTGCCAAAATCCAGAATTCAAGTCAGGGCCTGCTTCTGTTTTTTTACATTTTTCCCTTCAGTACTTTTTGATCAAGCATGGGCGCCCATCTAAATATTTTAAATATCCCCAATGAATGATTTATTTGGGCCATTCTGTCACGCTTGTTTTGTGTTTTTCCAATTTCAATGCACTAATGGCTCAGTTGCATTCAAAAGCTTCTTTCCCCTCAATTTTTTTTTAAGTGAGCATTTTTCCATGGTCAGAGTTCAGAGCTCACTTTAAAATGTTTTATCCTTGTATGTCAGTAGCATGCTGAGATGCATTGACTTCGAAGGTTTATGCTCCAATGACACACATTCACCTTTATAATTTATAGCAGTATACGATACATGTTTAATAAATGAAGTATTTTCAGTGCAAGCCGTGAATCCAGTACGAGGGAGCTGGCCTTTTTTTTCTCATCAGCAATGAGCTATTCTCTCTAATCACCAAAAGAGATTAATAGAGATCTACAACTTAGTACAATGCATTTCTCCACCATAATGGTCTCTCATACACACAGTCCTAATAGCTAGCCAGTAATTGATTTCACATTAAAGTGAGTCTAAACAGTGCTGACAGCGCTGAAACCCCCGCCAGTTTTTCGGAGGCATGCGTATTGCTTACAGTATTGCAGAGTTTGACACTTTGAAACCAACTACAGTTCAAAGGTTTAGCAGTTTCTCACTTAAAATTTCCATCTCCTGAAAACACAAGAGGTTGTATTTCGTTGATAATGCAGTGCTGCCTTGTCTCTCATTTCTGCTTTTTTTTTTTTTAACAAAGCATTCAACTTTGGAAAGGAATTTCCTTTTCTGAATGGAGCTTTTAATTTAGCAAAGAAAACAAGAAAAAAAAAAGAAAACAGCAGCTGACTGACAAGCCTTTGTAAACCTTTCTTGTAAAGATTGTGCAACTGAAATTATGCAATAAGTGTTTGTTTTTGAAGTCTTAAACAGAACTGTGATATGCTATCTGCCAGTGGAAACTTCCTCTTTAGAGTTGCAATAATCAGTATACAAATGGATCACATGGCCACTTGTATGCAAGGTCGCCCGTAGTGACAAATTTCCACCAAACTTGGCACTTTCCCCTCAGTTCTACAGAGGTTTGTAGCATCTTTCAGTACATTGTCCACCATCACTGCTGTCACAGTGTCTTTTTCAACAACTACAGCAGGTAGCTGTTTTTAGCAAGAAAAAAGCTCTAAAAACCCACTGTACACTACCTGCCGAGACAAAGTTAGCAAATAGCTGGATGAGCCAGAACATATTGGAGCATTTAGCAGCTTAAAGAGGCAGATATTTCCCTCAGGGTACAGTGGAGACCAAAACAGCATTCGTCAGGTGGAAAACAACTTCAGATAATTGATTCTCTGAGTCTGCCAGATGTGTAAATGTTTCCTAACATGTTCCCCATATTATACTTCAAAGTTGATTGTATATCAATCTGCAGGTTTCATTTTATAAACTGAAAGCAGTATTTACTGTGAAATATACAGTCATATTTTGTGCATAAAATTCGTGTAAACACCACTTTAAAGTTTGCCACAACTGTGAGAGTAGACAGTTGCAGAGTTGCGGGATGTGGCATTCTTACTATTGAAAACAAAAGAATTGAACATTGCTATTTAGAGTAGAGTTTGTTTGCTCATGCTTAGTTTACAATGTTGCATGAAGTAAATAATGCAAAAAGTTTTAACTGAATGAATAGGCTGCTGCCTTCATTACAAATTATTTTCCATTCTCTGTATAAGTCAAATTATTTTGTTTGAATAAAAGTTGTTAAATGATCATCACAGCTCTACATTATCTTTGTTTTTCACCCATGTTTCCAGGGTAATACCGCTGGGCAAGGAGCAGACCATAAGCGGACACACGTTCCGCGGCTTTATGTCGCACTCTGAGGCGTACCCCTGTCCTTACCTCAATGCTGCCTCAGCTGTGGGTATCACTCGTGAAGATGTGACACTCTGCATTAAAAGGCTTGACAAGTGCCTGAAGACCTTGAAGAAAGAGGGAAGTGTGGCGAAAAGTAGTTCCCCAGTACTTCCTTTGTGCCAGGAGGACACTACTGGCTAATGACTGAAATAAGAACATTCTAACAGGCAAAGTAGACAGAGTGATTTCTGCTTAGTTTGAGCCCTCTCCTGCCTGCACTTATTTCTCAGCTGATTTTGGACTGTGTGTATTTTAAATGGCACTTGCTGATGGATTATCAATCCAGACATTGACTTGAACGCTGCAGCAACCGCTAATGATGAAACTGTGTGCAGGTGTTCATTACAAACAAAAATGATACAAGCTGAAGTCACTGATTAATTCCCTCCTCTGTGAAGGCGTGCTAATTAGTAGATAATGTAAGGACACAAGCTGCATACAAATGCCTCTCGGGAGCATATGGTTGTTCACCACTGATCTAAAATTAGACCAAAGCATCTGCAAAGACCATCGCACTGTTGTCTGTACGTTTTGAAAATGCTTTACTTTATTATGGATTTGGACTCAAAATGGATTATGTAGCTATTGTTTACAGTGGCCTTTACTTGATGTGTCATTTTTCTTAACTAAAGCCATCTAAAGCCTCCACAGTGCTGTTATTGGATGAAATATTCAATAAATTAGAGAGTCTCTCACTTTGAAAACAACACTTGATTTCTGTTGTGGCAATAGGATCTTCCACTCACTGATATATGAAGTCATAATGTAATATGTTGGGCCATGTCTCCTGCAGTATGTTGTAATGTGATACAAATGCTGTTGAGCCATTAACTCCAGTGTATTGAACTAGCTCATCGACATTCAGGCTCTGGAACGGATCGTGAGGAACAGATAATCAATGAAGTGCAAACATCGATCACTCCTGTGTTCAGCAAAGGAAGTGTTCACCGTTAGTCTCAGTAAGAACCTGCGTTGTATGTAAGATTAACGATTCAAGAGACTTAACTGTATTTTACTGTATTTTACTGTAACATGGCGTAAGATAAATTTGGATTTCAGTTAGAACTTTACCGGTGGAATTAATCCTTGATCACACAAATCTCCATGTTTACGCAGTTTCTTATGTATTTTGTCTCATTCCATGCTCTGCAATCTCAGTCATTAGGAAGCAGAGCTGGTAGTGCCCCCAGGCATAAAAATAGACTCCTACTAAAGCCTCACTCACTGATGACTAATCTATATTTCTATACTGCACTGTCCAAATTCTCCCTGTGCCCTCCCCTTCATCTGCTGTGGATTATCATGGTTGATTGGTGTTTTGAAAAGCACAGAGCATGTGAAGTAGATGCCGTTGCATGTTCTGGAGTTCAAAACACTCATGTACGGATCAGGAGTGGAAGGTACCAGCTGTCGTAGCTGCTGCAGCTGTGCCAGGCCCAGGTGTGCTTGTGCGTAGCGATGTACAGTCAGCAACATGTCGGTTTTTCCACTGCAATTAGTAATGCAGGTCTGAGCAGCAGAACCAATCCACCCAGCAGCGTTTGAAAGTGGGCTGGAGTCAGACAGATAAGGGTGCTGTATCAGCATCACTGTTCCCAAGCTGTACTGAACCATTAACAGAAGAAAAAAAAAATTCAGTGGAAAAACACTGTGACAACGCCGGTACAGTGCAGCACTCTGAAAGCAGGTGGCATTCACTAAATTATTTTCTCAATATTGTTGGTTTCTTGTGCTCCAGCAAACCTACCCTATCACTGTCAGTCAGAATGAAGAATTAATCAGCTATAGAAGATTTGACTGACTGATCCTGAATGTGTTAACGTTACATTTGGTTTACACGGACAAATCTGGCTCAATATGTAGAGCTGAGTCCAAAAATCTATTTTTATCTTTTTCTTCTCCCTCTATTACCCGTCACCAGTTTGCTAGGTTTCCCCAGCTTTTGCTGATGTTGCAGAGATGCTGTGGGGAGGATTGAGAGAGTCAGACCCACTTTTTTTTGTGCTGGCCAGTTTTAGAAGACCCCCACCTCCTCCTCCTGTATTGATCAGGTCTGCTGCAGTGTGTAAATCAGAAAAGGGCTGCCATTGAGAAACTTGAACAGGGCATCACAGTCTTTATTTATGCAGTCCCATCATCTGTGTGATAGTATCAAGTATTGCAAAGAGTAAACTGGTTAGGTAATTCAAACAGCAAAGATTATTGGGGGAGAACAAGCCACAGTGTGACCCCTGTAAGATACCTTATCTATCAGGATTCAGTTGTTTTCTCAATCATTCCCTGAAATCCAAATGTTTGTTTACCTTCATCCCTCTTCAACAAAATAGACTGCCTTTAAAAATATTCCCTGAATCTGCACCCCACACACTCAATCATAAGTCTAAGTACCCCAGGGATGTTGCTGGATGACAAATGGCCCTTCGCTCCTGGCTCTCAGCAGCTGCCAGGTAGGCTTCAGTGATGATGGAGTGCCAGAGTGGAACAAACAGGGCCATAGATTAACAAACTGTTACCAAAAGGGGCCGTAGTTTACCAAACAGGTTGTGGATTAACAGACGGCTACCAGTAGGTACATTGCACCTGGCTGCTATACAGGCACCAAACTGTTGGCCTTTGCTCCAGAGTTCTATAATATTGACCTGTGTGTCTGTATTTATCATACAGCAAAGTCTCAGAGTAACCTTCAAGCTCCCCAGAGATCACTAAACACGTGTCAGAGCAGGAATAGCCAATCAGATGCTAGGATTTAACCTGTGTTAACCCTAATATCTCCAGTAGCAACTAACATGTCAAATTAACTATTAATTATCAATCTATTTATAATATAAAAATGAATAAATTAATGAAATAATAGAAAAATGGCTGAATTAGAAATCTATCCTATCCTATATCATATGTTACATCTCTTATGCCAAAATTTTAAGGTATTCTTCCCATGCTGATGTTGGCAAATTTGATTATGTGCACTGATTTGGGAAAGAAGAAAGGGTTTTGCATTGTCTTTTCTATACTACATACTATGATTTTTTTAAATAGTATTTTAAAAGCATATATGTGGAATCTGCCATATATGGTTTTGTGGTGTTTTGTAGCTCTCCTCAATGTGTTTTGATAGCTTGTATACTAAGTTTTCGAGAAGGACTAAAGGTGAAGGATTTTTCTTTTTTCTTTCTGTTATTTCATTTCAAAATTCCTCTTCTAGGATTTGGATACACAATCTCTCTTACCTTATGTTGATACCGGTGTCTCTGGCCATATACTGCATACATAGTGTATTGCCTGCATTTGCACCCACTCAGATAGCCATTGTATTCAGTGAAGAAGCTCTAGCAGCTGAGCAGCCCTGCATAGCCCGCCACTGAGGCGCTGTCCATGGTGCTGCAGTTCTGCACCTCAGAGAGCGTCTGTATGGAGGAGGGGTACTGTATAGCTTACTGTATGTAAAAAAAAAAAAATTAAAAAAAAATCCACCTATAGGTAACGATATATCCCTTTACTGTCGTCTCAGACAAGCGGCTTGGTTTCATAGAGAGACTTTTATATGATGGCTTTGATTCAAACATATTGTTAAAACTGCCAGAAATAAGCGAGTTATGAGTAAAAATGCAAAATAAACACAAACATGTTTATATGATTGACGTCGTTTACATTGTATTTATGAAATATCCGCCTTCCCCTATGAATGCACATTGACAAAACGCAATACATCTGCTGATATAATTAAACCATATTCCTGTAATTGCCCCCTATATTCAATAACAGCCCTATCTGCATGAAGAAGCACCCCAAAGCGACATTAACTGCGTGTGAAACGTTCAGGGTTGCCAGATCTGCGGGGCTAGCCTAATAAAAGCCTTTTATGTTTTTTCCTTTCGGTGGAATGGTGCGTGGTTGTTTAACCAACAGTTACCGACTGGAGCTCTGACTTAATAAATAATTAAAGTGGACGGAGGGGAGCTGCAGCTGATTTGCTGATGTCAGGGAGCCAGTGCAGCATTTCATGGTGCAGGGTGTAAACGCGCGGTGCCATCTGCCTCGATCGGTGCTCTCAGCGAACCTCACACATGCGAGCCCGGCAAGAAAGATGCTGCCAACTCTCAAGATTTGGGCATTGTTTTCTGTGTCACTCGGTTTCCTGTCTCAACCGGGTCATTTGAAGAAGGCTTTCCGATGTCCTTCAACATGCAGCTGCTCCAGGGAGTCTATCATTTGCGTCGGGTCCTCCTATGTCCCAAGGATTACCCCCAACGACATCAATTCTTTGTGAGTAGCCTCTATATGTTTTTTTTTTTTTTTTTAACCAAACCAAAAATACTGCATATGTGTGTAATATGCAGCAATATAGGCTTATTAAGTTTAATCCTTCTTGTCCCACGCTGTATTTTATAATGTGCACCATCTTAATAACGACTGATGTTGCAAGGCAATGCAGTCCTGACTCTTCTCCACCTCCTCTGATTTATCACTTTTCAGCATTCCATTTGCTTTGCCGGCTTTTATGTTCATCTTTTCTGCTTCTTCCTTTCAGGAGTATCGTCAATGGGACTTTCTCAGAGGTCAAAGAGGCGATGTTTGCTCACATGCCATCTCTCCAGCTACTGTAAGAGTAATTGAGCTGCATGTCATTCCTCTGTCTTATTATGAGTTGGCCTTATTGTAGCAAAGGCTCCTATTAGGACTGAACTATGCAGACACATTGATTTCAGAACTTATTTTAAATGGGTGACTTTAAAAACTTGGATATGTCTTCAATGTGGGGGTTTAACATGCCAAAGGCAGACTGGTGATGGGGATCTGACGGCCTAAAGCTGCAATACACACACAGAAATAATAAACTATAGTCTTATCGGCATGTAGTTTCTATTGAAGCGCATGTATGTATGGAGCACCTGTAACTTTCTGTTGTGCATTGCTTTAATACAGATACAGAAAAGCATCATTTAAGTCAGTTTAAAGCATGTTGCAGCATTTAGTAGGGAAGGTTTTAAAAGAGTTGGACACCTGGAAAATAAATAATGGTAATCTAGTCTTGAGCTGTCAGTGCAGTCCCATACCATGATGTACTTATCGGACGTCATCAGTCTACTTTGTTACTCTACCTGTGATAGCTGTGACGCCAGCATAAACAAAGGCGTGGCAGATATAGAGTATTTAACCAAAGTCACAACACATGATGATTTTAAAGTATCAAGGTTAATCTTTGTGTCATTTGACAACAAAGGGGCACAATTAAATGTAAGTTATAGCTCATTCATGCTGCACAAACATAGATCATATATACAAATATTGAATTTAGAATAAAGTAAAACTATATATGCAGTTACTTGTTTACATATACACTCAGAAGGTACCATTTCTCTTGAAACTGACTATTTCCGCAAGATAATTGTCATTTGTGTTCTTGTGTTACATGTAGGTGTAGCAGGTGTTAAATCGTAGGACAATATAAGCATCTGTGCTCTACTCTCACTGTGTGACAGGAAACAATATTTTTGCTTGACATACCAGAGGCCATGAAATGTGGTGATATAATTACTAACTCTTAATTTAACATGTGTTGCCATTAAGAATTGGGAAACCCCTAAATCACAGTCTAAGAAATGTCATCTGTACATTGTGTTGGCAATCAGCAAATGTTGATGTGTATTTTATTATTCATTACAGGCTTTTGAATTCCAATTCTCTCACAACTGTAAGGGATGATGCATTCTCAGGTCTTCCACATCTGGAGTATTTGTAAGTTCTTCTATTGGTTTACATCAAAGTAGTGCAAAGGAATTCAGTCAATGAGTGTAATAACTTAAAATGGGTATGTAACAGCATTCATTTAATCAGTTGTGACTTGACAAAGCTGCACACTTTAATCTAACATGATAAAAACAGACTTCTAGGAATGTTGTTATGGACATGAGGTTATGTTTTTGGATGCTGTCTTTCAGAAAGTGAATAAGGCAATATCAACCGTACGCCCTCTAGTGGTTCAATTTGTACCAGAACAGAATCTTCACTCATATGTCCACAAACAGTTGCTAAAAAAAGTATTACAAATGCGTATCAGTATTGTTGCTGGGATTACAGCCATTTTGGAAAACTGCCTTCTTAGAGTTTATTACAATCCGCAAGTCTGAGTAAAATGTTACTATAATGTTTACAAAAAATATGTCATCACTAGATTATATGCACATAGTTTAATGCACCATTATTCATGTAAAAAAAATGCCATATGCACAAGGCCTTATTTGTCTGCAACTGAGTTAATATGCATCTTAGGGAACTACAATACCAAGTTTATGACTAAATCCAATATGTTTTTTTGTTATCTTCCACAGGTTCATCGAGAGTAATAAGATAGAGACTGCATCCAAATATGCTTTCAGAGGACTCAGGGACTTGACTCACTTGTATGTTCCAGTCTTTGAAATCCTTCCCAAACAAAGACTGTTAAAATTCCAATTTTGTAATATTTATTTGCTGTAATATGGCGCAACTCTGGGCCATTGTATGTGATGCTAAATGTTTTTCCATTTTCTTGCAATGGAATTATGATATTCTTAATAAATGCTATTTTCTGTATTGATTTGTTGCTGTTGTTTCTAGGTCTTTGGCAAATAACAACATTAAAGCCTTGCCCAGGGACCTCTTCATTGACTTGGACTCACTGATAGAGCTGTAAGTTTGTTGAGAAAATAGTGTAAATGTCCTCTGTTTTCTTCTTCATGATCTGTGCCGAGGATGGTGTCCTTGTTGATGCATTATGTTAAGAAATATCTTCCTCCTCTCTTCTTTTTTCTTCTAAGGTGCCTTCTAGCTTGACTACTTAGTTTATCTGCAATGACATACGGTGCTTCTCTCCTGCAGGGACCTGCGAGGCAATGCCTTTGAATGTGACTGCCGTGCCAAGTGGCTGATGACGTGGCTGAAGAACACCAATGCCACGGTGTCGGATGTCGTGTGTGCCGGACCGGAGGACATGAAAGACAAGCGCCTCAATGATATGACCAGCCTGCACAACGAATGCGTCTCAACGGGTAAAAAATAAACCTGAGCCAACTGGCCTTGTCTCTAGTCTAACTGGCATCAGTATCAGGCAGCGCAACCGGGTCATCGGAAGAAGTGTAAAGAAAGGGCAAAAGTGTAGTTTTCTGAGTTTTAAAGTGGCTGTGCTTTTAGAATGTGATCATCTTGTGGAAAATCTCAATTCAGAATTTGTCTTTCCACAGATTTCGTGCTGCATCAGTCCGTGGCATCTGAGTCTCTGTCTGTTGACACATTCAGCTATAAGAATGATGTCTATGTGACTATTGCTGCTCCCAGCACAGACAGCTGTATGGTTTTACAGTGGGACCACATAGAAATGAACTTCAGGACTTATGATAACATCACAGGTATGGCGATGCCTTAACAAATTGCCTCAGAATACCCTGACTGACAGTCATCTGTTTATAACCTCTTCCCTGCCTCCTAGGTCAGTCCATTGTGGGGTGCAAGTCAGTTGTCATCCAGGACCAGGTGTTTGTCATCGTGGCTCAGCTCTTTGGTGGTTCCCACATCTACAAGTTTGACGAAGACCAAAGCAGGTTCAGCAAGTTCCAGGACATTGAGGTGTCCAAGATCTCCAAGCCGAATGACATTGAGGCATTCCAGATTGGTTCTGACTGGTTCTTTGTGATAGCTGATAGCTCAAAAGCGGGCCTGTCCACTCTCTACAAGTGGAACGATAAGGGCTTTTATTCATACCAGTCGCTGCATGAGTGGTACCGCGACACAGATGCAGAGTTCTTGGACTTGGATGGGAAGGCCCACCTTATCTTAGCGAGCCGCTCGCAGGTGCCTGTGATCTACCAGTGGAGCCGGAGCAACCAGAAGTTTGTCTTGCAGGGCGAGATCCCCAACATGGAGGATGTTGTAGCTGTAAAGCACTTTCGGATCAAGGAGGAACTTTACTTGGCTATGACACGCTATATTGGTGACTCAAAAGTTCTACGTTGGGGTGCCAAACAATTTGCAGAGGTCCAGGCCTTGCCCTCACGAGGGTCTATGATTCTTCAGCCGTTCTTCTTCAAAGAACGTTACTACCTGGCCCTGGGAAGCGACTATACCTTCTCTCAGATCTATCTGTGGGATGATGACAAGAAACTCTTTGACCGCTTCAAGGAGGTGTACATCCAGGCCCCGCGTTCCTTCACTGTGGTTTCCACTGACCGCAGGGACTTCATCTTCACCTCCAGCTTCAAGGGAAACACACAGATCTTTGAGCACATCATCATTGACTTGAGCTTGTGAGGGGCTGTGCCTTATTGCCCGTCCTGCAATCGAACGTCTTCCACTAAAAAGATACATTTTTGAAGGGAAAAGGATCAGAACAGACTTAATGAACTGTTAAATATAAATTCCTACATAGCTTTCTGTCAGAAATAGGCGCTGGGTCAAGTAGTGTTTGGAATCCTTTTCCGTTTCTTAAGGTGTCTTGACCATTACTCAATGGCCTTGTCCTATTATCTGTTCTCATGTCCTCTCAGACTTTCAGAGATACTACCATTTCACAAAGAGTGAGAGGGATAGTCAAGAGGGTGGACAGTTGTACAAGGCAGCTGGTAAATTCCCAAAAAATCCAGCTGACATTTCAGAGGGTGGAAAGATTTGAATTATAATATGATCTATTTGGATGTATAGATTTTGGTTAATATCCCCTGTGCTAATGGTTTTATACCCCCCAAAAAATATAACAGGACTTTAGAAAAAGATAATTTTACTACTGAGGGTGTAACAG